ACCGCCAACCAAGCAATGAAATAATACTTCGGAATGTTACCACCGAACCAAACCAAAGACAACCAAGGAACAGGAGATCGGGCCGACCGTAACGCACCCCACGCACTCGACACTAAGAAGAGACTTGACGGCACCAGAATCCAAATGGGCACATCAACTCTCCCAAGGAAAACCTGAACAGATGAAAAGTTAGAGACCAGCTCTGGAAGATCAGCCGACCTCGAGGCCAATGACACGAGCCATCGGGAGACAGAAAATAAGCAACCTTAGTCCTAAACGAGCTTGCAGCATCATGATAATCCGGTCACCAAACTTCGGAAGAATTGGATCCTCTAAGAGCCAAGTGTCATATCACACAAAAAACACTGACCATCTCCAATAGCAAACTAAACCAGAGGTCGGAAAGCATCCTAGACATAAAGAATATTCCACCAACATCAAGAGAACCGAGGTCAAGCATTAACAGTTCAAATATAGTCCCCGAAGAATATAAGCCTCCACCCAAGCCACCGAAAGACCGCTAGTGTGCTTTAAATTTCTACCAAGCAATTAGCCACACCATTATATGACAGTCCTAAGCCGAAAATAAAGTCCACTAAATAGGCCGATTAAATAATCTAAATATAATTGCCTTTTAATTTTTTACTTGCATTTGGTTTGACGATCGCTAGATCAATTCCAACAAGTCAAATTTATTAAATTTGTGCTTAATTTTGTTTTGGCTATCATGGTCTTGAAAGTTTCAATTCCATCTCTTTGTTTCCAAGATTCATTTAAACCCACGTCTTCACCAAATTTAAAAAGTGGGTTGCCAACCATTTTTTAATCTATTTATCTTTTATATAATTTTATAATTCCAAATGCATTCCTCCTAACGATAGCTTTATGATTTATTAATTTCGTTACTTTTATTAAAATTTAAATAATATTTATGCTCTAAAATTAAGTTAAATAAATAATGTTCCTAAAAATCTGGATAAAAGTTTTAAAACAGAAAACAAAGTTTTTAGAACCTATATTTTGTTTGATGAATTGACTCAATCTCAAATATAATATTTAAAATAAAAAATAAAATCATTACCAAATAAAGACATAAATTTTAGGTTCAAATAGTATTTGGTACCTGTACTTTTGGTTATTTTGTGTCCCTATACTTTTAAAGGTTAATTTTAGTCCTAGTACATTCAAAATGTTTTTTTGGATCGTCCCTGTACTTTTCAAAAATCACAATTTCAGTCCTTATTTGCAAATTCTCAAAACAAATTATAAGCATAATGGAAATCCTTTAATATAAAATCATTTTATTTCAATAAAATATATTGAGTGTAGTATCGTATTGAAATTGTGGTAAAACACACGAAAATAAAAAAAATAAAATTAAGGGACCAAAATGATAAAACTTTTAAAAGTAGAGGGAAAAAAACGAATCTTTTGAAAGTACAGAGATTAAAATGAACCAAAAGTTTAAAGTGCATGGACCAAAATAAATATTTTAAAAGTTGTAGAAACTACGGTATTAGATAAGATTATTCTCATTACTAAAGTCTCTATATATATAAAAATATACCGGGTTGACCTAATCCTAGAAAAGGAAGGTAAAGGGCTAATTAATATATATATTACAAGAGTATAAAATATACAAATATATATACTCTAACACTCCCTTCAAGTTGGTGCATATATGTTAATCATGTTCAATTT